GGGGGGGGGGGGGGGGAGGAGGAGCCGCCCACCCAGCTGCAACTTCCCCTGTTTCCTTGTCATGGAAACAAGCGGTTAGTCTTGCCAGCTTTGTAGGCAGCCAACTCGCAGGGCTTTCAGAGGGGCTGGGAACACTTTCCCCTAATTGCCAACGCTGCAGCCAGGGGGTCTGACACTCTTCCCCTGCTTGCATGGATCCTGAGGTCTCTCTAATGCTCCAGATGTTGCAAACTGTCAGTCCCTGTGGTCTGCCTAGGCTGGGCAAAGCGTGCAGTGCGTAGAAATTCGTTCACGGCCACCTTGCAACCCGCTCCAGGGTTGGAGCACTAGCGGTGGCATTCTGCCTCCCCATCAGGAACCCTGGCTTAACAGCTGCAAAACAAGATTTGGTGCAGTCTCCCCACAGGCACATGCCCCATGCCTTTTGCACTCTGCTTGTGACTGAATTTCCCCTCCCTCGCTAAGTAGAGCAACTCAAATTCAGTTCACCCATTTCTCAAGTGCTCTGCAACTGTTAACAGGCCTTGGGTTGCCTCCTCTCTAGGAAAGCTCCGCCCGGCTCTGCCAAAGAAAAGGGGGGTTTCCTGCAAAGTTTGTCCCTCGGGCTCCAGCTGGAGCAGCACTGAATATTCACCCTAGCCTAGCCCCCTCCCAACGTTCAGTCCAGTTGGCTTGACGCAGACAAGGACCCCTACATTTCAGAGACCCCCCAGACTGCCTTCTTTTCTTCCCACTCCCATCCTGCCCCCCCAAAAAAGTTTAAAAATCCATCAAGAGGCGGCGAAAAGATGGAAGGAAAGGGGGCGGGGGAGAAAAACCACGGCTGCTGATGGAAAGTTGGCAAGAGGCAGAGTGGAAAGAGTGAGATCCAGCCCAGAAAAATGCAGGGCCCAAACAGAGGAAGTTGCGGGGAGGGAGATAATGGCGAGCTCTGGGCAGGAATCAGGAGCAGCAGAAGGGCAAAACACAGGAGCCAATGGAGCAACATTTAGTCCATTTAGTCACCAGAGGCTGACAGCATAAAGAGGGGTTTCTTTTCCTCGGCGGGAGGAGCACAGTATGATTTTGCTGCTGGGCGGCCTGTGGCAAGAATCGCAAAAGGCAGGGCAGAACCTCTGCTTTGGGGTCTGCGCTGGAACGTAACGGGAGGCTTGGTGGACACCCACAGAGCACCTTTCCCTCCTGGAGGAGGGGGCTAACCTCCCTGAGATGGGTGGGCAGAGCCTGACTCTTCAGGGTGCCGCGTGACGGTTCTTCCAGCTGGTTTGGTGGCAGTGGGGCTTCTACCTGGGCAGAGCCAAGCTCCCAGGAAGGAGCCCCACAGTCTTGCATGCACAGCAGATCAGAGATTTGGGAGGCGAGCAGCCCTGCAGGAGGGGGAAAGCTGAAACGTGACCCTGAGACCTTGCCAACCTATTTATGCCGAGGGTGGCCGTTCCTTGCCCCGGCTGCTCTGCCTTCAGCAGCAACTCCCACACCTCAAGATGGCAGGCCTACAAAGGCGCTGTGGGTCCATTACTCCTGAGTGTTTCATGGCACCTGGAGAAAAGATGTTCCCTGCATGTTCTGCCCAGAACTGTTTTGGCGCAAGGAAGCACGGTGCAAGAGAGCTGCTCTGAAAAACACCGAACCGACAAGCAATTAACTAAAGCCCTGCAGAGCAATCAAACTGCATAAGGCTGGCATGGGATGAAGGTGAGGCTTCTGCGGGGCCTGGGCCTGATCCAAGCCTGGTCTTCACTACCTTCAGCGCCCTGCCCGGACAGGATCGATTCCTATTCTGCATGGCTTTTGAGGAGAGGATGGAAGGACAGGGGATACAAGCTTGCGGAGTCCTTCCAGCATGACATCAAACGGACAAGCACTAAGGGATGAGCACATCCTTTTTGGACTGCAGGCGCATCAGCAGGCGCATCAGCAGGCGCATCAGTCTCGCCCTACAAATATCTGTATGGCACTGGTTAGGCTGGGTACCAGCTCTACCGATGTGAAAAACTCCCCAATGGCTGACAATTTAGGATAAAAATTGTAAGGAAGAATTGGAAAAGAAAGGATGGGCTGCAAGGATTCCCCAGGCAGTATTTCTTTATGCCACCCTTCCGACAGATAGGGACCACAGCTACATTTTGAAGAAAGGGGGCTGCAACGTGCGGACGATGAAAATGAACAGGGATGTGGGATGCATGTATGCTTGCTCAGGGCTGCAAGATGTTTCGAGTGCTCCCCTTTATCAAACAGTAGCATTTGAAGGGCTTACACTACAGCTTTTGCAATATTTCCTCTCTCAAAAGCAGCAGAAAATTATGATTTTCAGCATTTTGTAGAGCTGGAGAGGCCCTTGAGAGCAACTGCTCAGCACAGGAATTTTATTGAAAGCACCCCAGAGAAAGGGGGCTGTGCAGCCTCTACTAAACACATCCGGCAAAGGGGAGGCTGTCGCTGGATCTGCTCTCAAGCTGCTCTCAACGTTCAGCTTCTTTTCCTCCATTCAGTCAGAATCTCCTTCCTGTAACTTAAATCCATTATTCTGGATCTTGTGCTCTGAAATGAGAGAGAGGGTCTTCACCTCCTTCTGTGCAACATCTTTTCAGGTACTTTATTTGAAGAGGCCTATCTTCTACCCACTGTTAGTCTTCTCAAGGCTCAAGGTATTCAGCTCTTAGATTCTGTCTTCATAAAACTTAGTTTCCAGTCTTCTGATCTTCCTCATCGCCTTTTGAAACACCCATTCCATGTTGCCTGAATCTTTCTTAAAATGTGGCCTGGTACTGAAAGTACACCTGGCCAACACAGAATAAATGATTACTCCCTGGAGTTTGGAAACTACACTTCTTTTAACATAGTCAAAAATTGCATTTTCCTTGTTGGCAGACACCTCACTTGTTGACTCATTTCCGATCTGAATCCATTTCAGTATCTTTTTCACTAGCATTACAGTGTTACCAAGCTTGGTAGCTCCCATTCTACACTATGCATTTCATTTCTATTTCCAAATAGAAATATCTTTCTCTTTGTCTATGTTAATTCTGCTGTTTTTAGCCCATGTCTCTTCAGCTACCAATACCATTTTGAATACTGCCTGCTCTATGCAATTATGGGTCAGTTGTATATTTGGCAATAGTCATTAATACATTTTTTGAAGAGTACAAGGTCCAGGATTGAGGCAACCCACTCTCCCTCCAGTTTAGTAAAGGACCATTAATGAACATTTTTTATCATGTTTTTGAGCCATTTTAATTGCCATGTTATTCAGACCATAATTAATTATTTTAATATTAATAATATCATAGGATACTTTTAAAATGTTTTGCTGAAATTAAAGTGTATTATGTCTACAACATACCCATAATCAGCTACCCAATACAAAAATGAGATATGGTTAATCTTGAAGGACTTGTTCTTGACAAATCCATCCTGATCATTATGACTCAGAAGGTGCTTACAAATCAGTCATTACATGAGCTGCTTTAGAAACTTCAAAAATATAGATCTCAGAATGAGTTATCTGTAGTTCCTAGACCCTCATTTTTCCACTTTTTTGAAGATACAGTAGAAGTAATATTTGTCCTCTGCCATGGTATCTCACCTTTCTTCAGGAATTGTGCTATGAAATTTCAGCAGTATGATTGGAGGCCCTAGAAATGGATTTGGAAGTCACATGCACCCCTTGAAGCATTAAGTACCCTCTACATGATTTCCTCCCTAAGTCTTTCCTCCTTCTCTAGAACTTTAGGCTTGGCTGTACACTCAAATATGTTTATGTACCATTTGTCTACAAGTGAATAAGTGACATTTTAAGACTGAAGTACTTAGAAGGTTGGCAGTGTCAGTTTTAGAAATAATTTAGCAATACAAATGACTCAGCATTTCTTCCACATAAGACCCAAAATTCTTGGCTGTTGAATTATGCATTTGTGTGGCACAATTCTAGGATCACGGAATATATACTGTCATGTCTAATGTCTTCTAGTAACTGAGTTTGGTCTGTATAACCTCAGTGCAGCTCATTAATCATTCCT